GTTCTTATAAAGTTATTTTTCTTAAAACATAGAACAGTAAATAAAAAAGTAAAGCAAACAATTATCTCTTCTAGTTACAGCTTTTGTACTCGGTTGCTGCAGGTTGCTAAGCCTTTAAAAATTTTGCATGTTGAGGACATGAAACAAAATATTTTATTTAGGTTTTCTACTATAATTTATCAAACTTAATAACTAAGCTGTATTTTTGTCTAAAGAAATGGTACTAGGTACATTAGAAAGGCTGAGAAAACCACTAGGGGGACATTCTGAGCTTCTGGTTGGTTAGTCATGTCATATATAGAAGTGTTTATAAGTGTGCATTTCCAAAAATGGAAGGAGGTGAGTGGGGTGCCACTATGTTTGATTTAAAATGTGAGTAATATCTTAGTGAATAGAAAAGATAAGAACTTCTTACTTTACATTCTAGCTTGTCAATATCGGTAATTTGCATTTCTGATTTGTACAAAACTATACTTATTATTTAGGCTTCACAAACATCTAATTTGAACCAGTGCTGCATTCAACATACCACTACACACAAAAATCAATGTTTAATTGTGTTTTTTTTAATACTTTTAAATTAACAAATTGAGTAATGTATAGCTCTAAAATTTGAATTATAATCCACAGTTTGATACCAAACTTAGACACAAATTCATGAAATTTCGAATGTGGGTCAACAAACGAGATGACATGGCCTTTCACCTGTGATCTGTCTCAAAAGGGTTAATGCGACTAGTTCAGAGTTCTCAAGAGACAGAAAACTATACATATATTCACTAACCTAGAAGAGGCAATTGTTCACTTGTTTACACATAAATGCATACTTTTTGTTGTTGTTCTTGTATCATATTGTTTTTACTTTACATCAAAAAATGTCTAGTCTGTTTATTTTTCAATCAAGTTAAAACTATTTCCAGTTTAGATTCAGATTACTCTGCAAATTCCTCCTCAATCCTCCCATTATTAAGCAGATCAATACTTTCAAGAAAACCAGTTTATCTTAGAACGTCACATACATGCAGATTTATTTATCAGTAACTGAAGTATTCTCTATCTTACTAAATATCAATAATATAATGTCTAGTTTTACTTAAAAGTATTACATTTGAGAAGAAAATAAAATCAGTAATTCAGGTTTCAGAAATAATTAAAGTATTGTGAACAGCATATCTGCATTAAGAAATTGTATTGGCACATAACTAAGCTAGAAATAAAACTAAGCAGATATTAACCATGTGCATATGGTACTTTGAAGCCAAGATTAAAAGTCATTACGTAGCTTTCTATTTAATCTTGGAATGTTGTGTGGGCCAGACATTTCTGAGCAGGATACAAAGAAATAAATTTCCAAAATATGTAAAAATAAAGCAGGCAAAATTATTTTTTCTATGAAACAGGTTTCGTAGGAGAAAAATCAAAGAAGGGACTTATCTAAGGAAGAGAGAAAATGTGTGTTGGAAAATTTCTAAATAATTTTATTAGGGATTAATTATGAACAAGTTCTCTTTACACTAAAATATGCAATTTCAATGAAAAGAAATAATTCATGAATTACTTAGAAGCAAAGTCCATTCCCCCAATTCATTTTTTCTGTATAGCAGATTAGTTTCACAAATAGTATTTTAGGTACGAGTAAAGGTTTTTCCACCAAGCCATGCAAATTTAAGGTCTTCTAGAGACCATAAAGAATGAAAATGTGATTTTATAACAATTTTTGTGATGTAGAATGTTTAAGGTTAAAAAAGTTTTTGAAAAAAGATGCTTAAGAAAAATAATATGATATGGAATCAATTCTTACCACCATCAAAACATTTTGATACAATACAGTGTAAGAAGACATATCAAAAAGAAACATTTTAAGTGAGAAAATGATATTCCAGTATTCTAAAGAATGATTATAAAAACAAAATATTATACAAAAAAAAACTAGAAAAGCACTCAAAAAGTACAACCCCTAACCCAAGATGTTTGACTTTTGAAGTAACCAACCTAAAATGAACACTAAATAAATCATCACCCTTAAAAGTGTAGATCTAAATGCAGGATCCTCTTTCCAAATTACACTTTTTCAAAATACAAATTTTAAACCTTATAATACAAGTGGTTAATCTTCAGTAGGAATTTGACCTTTGTCCTACATTCAAATATTAATTAATTGATCATTGAATTATAATGCTTTACACACACACACACACACACACACACAAAGGATGAAAACTATAGCCCTACAAAGTTTTAAATAAGAACTTAAGAAAAGGTGTCAGAATACATCTCAAATACCCTTAATCTGTGTCTGTGATGCAATGCATTGTTGAAAGAAAACTCAAGTGTCTTATGCAATTTAAAAAAGTTCTGTACAACTAGGCAATTAAGGGTAGATTTTTTTTCAAATGGTGATGCATTCATGGCTCTCAGTTATCAAGCTATGACTCAAAGAAAAATTTGGTAGACAGAAGGTCCATTTTTAGTTCAACTGCATCCTATTGAAAGATCACAAGAACCACAATTTCTGAAAACTTTATGAAATGTTCCTAATTAGGACAATCAAAATAAGTTCAAAAAGCCATAAAAGTTTAGAAAATAAGCGTACCTAATCTTATATATTTAACAATGGTGAAAACATACCTGATATCAAGGGTTTGGAAAAAAAAAAAAAAGATAAAACAGATAAAAACATACATCAATATCATATGATAAAGCAAACTGATAACCTACCAAAGTAATATCTGCTTCAATGAAAGCTTCAGCTACTAAATTTAATCTTGTAGAAACACACTGTTAATGCAGCTAATAGTTCAGTTGGAATTAATAGCAAATTTTGATGAAGTACATTTTGCTCTTATTAGCCTGTTCTAAAGTTGATTTTTGAACACAAATTTAAGTTAGTTATTGATATGTCATTCCTATTGGGAAAATTTAGTATTTACATAATTAAAATGTCACTTTCCTCAGTGGTGGCAAGTGTTTTGCCTTTGTTGATACCATACTGCAAGATTTACACCAGGGCATTATAATGAACCACACAAAAGACTACCTATATACTTGGGAGATTATATAGATATAGACACACACACACACACATAATACACATACAATTTTCTTTAAATAAAAACTGTTTCCCCTTCTTAAAAAACTTCTTGCAAGGAAGTACATGACTTTAATTAAACTATAAGCTTTATGGAAAATGACATCTTATAAATGATATCATTGAATTGTGACTATCAATTTTCATAATATTTTTTGGGGATATCTCATATGGTTATTTCAACCCCCCCCACTAAACAAATTTAGACAAAAAAAAGAAAAGTATATAGTGTTTGTTTGTTTGAAATTAAGCACAAAGTTACACAATGGGCTATCTGTGCTCTGCCGACCACGAGTATCGAAACCCGGTTTCTAGCGTTGTAAGTCCGCAGACATACCGCTGTGCCACTGGGGGCAGTATATAGTGAAGACTTTGTATGATTTTATTCGTTGAAAGCTGGTCTAGCATACTCACTCCCCAAGTAAAAAGTAGAAATTGAACCCACTTTATTTTTTCAAAAAATTTTATTTCTCTTTTTTAATTCACTTCATAAACTAGCTACAGTGTCAGAAAAATAAAGCCATTTGAAATTAACACTTGATTGTCTTTTCCAAATCAAACTTGTGTTTTGTTGTATTCAGAAATCAGCCAAATAAATTATAGGGATTTATCCTATTATTCTCTCTCTCTCTGTCTCCCCAATATAATATTGCAAACTATAATTGGAATATGAAACTTCATATTTAACATTTGAATAAAAACAAAAGGGGGGGGGTTCAGTTCATTACATCAGCTCCAAATAGTAGTAATGGAGATTAGTGTGTGCGTGTGTATATAAATGGGTGCTATTAATCTTTGCCATATTTGAATACACTCCACTTACTCAACATGCAACCCCAAGCCGATTATTTATTTTTTTATAACATAGTTATTTCTTATTAATATAGTATATCAGAAAACCAAAAACTTATTGTCAATTACTTCTCCTACTATAATTAACATTTTCTTGCTCTATGTACTGACCAAACACATTAACTAAACTTAAAATGTTTTACATACAAAAAATTTTTATTTTACATTACAGTTAAATCAAAGATAATTTATTTCACAGTGACACAGGAAAATCCCACAAAGTGTATAAGCAATTCTCATGTCATGGCTAATATAATTAATTTATTCTTTAATTAGTTCCAAGTAAAAATTTTAATAATAATAATAATAATGCAATACAAAACACAGATACTCTTACTGATTATTAAAATATCTTGTAGAATTACACTGTAATTTACAGCATTTCTTTAAAGCTATTTAACAGGGGCAGCAGAAAAATGGGGATGGGGTCTTGATAGGGCTAAAGCTACCATAAAACGAGTCTTACTCTTAGCCTCCCCTGTAGCACCACACTCAACAAAAAATGCACAGTGTTGAAGATAGTTCACTTCGTAAATACTAAACTTTACATTACCACAAGATGTAGAATGCAAACCTCTCAACTTTTGTTTAGCCCACCACAGCCCCTTCACCAGAAGTTTTGCACTCACCACGTTAACAAATGGATCGATTAACTTTAAGCTTTTTTTTTTTTTCTTGGTGACAATCTTGACAGTTTAAATCGCAGGAACTAACCAACTTTATTATAAATAACTCTTAAATTTATTCATAACTAGAAAAAAACACTTACAATTAACTACAAGCTACCCATTTAGGGTGAAAGTTGAAACCACAATCCAACCTGGTACTAATGACACAGTGACAGTGATACGAGTACACCTAACAACTGTAACATTTAAATAAACTCAATTTTAAGTTAGGCCCAAGCCTAAAATTTACTACAAAATCTAGAGATGAAATAAAAATATGCTTAAACTTAAACTGCTAAATATCAATATTTAACTGGTCTAACTTATATTATAATACTACTACATTAATGATGACAGAAACTACTCGACTAAAAATTAAATCTTAAACTTACCTAGTTTCGAGTACCCCTCAATTTCTTCAACTGCCAAACTAAACTAAGTAAATTGTAAAACTACAAAAAGTACAAGATTAGATCGTAAGTTGAATGAAATCTCCGATATTTCGGTTGGTTTTCACAATTTAATTTTTTAACTTAGTTTTAATCCAAATTAAGTTTCAAGAATTAATAAACTGTTGCAGACAGACACCGAAACAGTCTAGACTCCAGTACATGTTATTTATTGATCTTATTCTTAGATTCTTCGTGGTCATAAACATGTCGATAAACACCGTATTTTCATCTACATAACGTCGACAATTGTAATTATTAGTATTACTACCATTCGCAAATTAAATAATATTCACATTTCACATACGAGTATTTCAACGAAGCGTTAACATTACGCCAAATATGATACACAATATAACTAATATCAGTACACAACTATGGCGCCTAACACTAGCCATAGAAACAAATCTTACACATTCCTATTTTATAACAAACCTATCTCTGTTACCAACCCCGAGACTTCGACATAATCCAATGACCAGACTAAAGTTTTGCGATAGGTCGAGTAACTCTACCGGAGCACGTGATACATGCGTGTTTAGTGCACATGTCTCCTTAATGTGAGCGATACATTGATCTCAAGTCCTGAGGGTAAGGAGGAAAGTTAAAGAAAAAGACTGAGGTAAACGTAGCAAATCTAGAGCCATAGGACGATGCTGAATAATGCTACCTCTGCAAGTAAATTCGAAGTCCGAATCAAGTACTCATTTCAACTTTTTCGTTGCATCCGGTGTCGGTTTTGCGAAGTAATCTTTGGATGTTTATCAAAATAACATGTTAATATATTTACTATCATAGTATCTATCCAAGATGACGAGGAACCCACTTGACGTAACCTGGTGATGACCTCAGGAGGTCAACAGTTGCTATTTGTTTGGTGATTTAAATAAAACATGAGTCGTCTCCACTATATATATATATTATTATCTAAAACTGGGTCATGGCGTATTTTCTCATTATGTAAAACCAATATTAAATACCTTAAAAGAACAAAATAATGTAAAAAAAAATGTAGATATTAAGGGGAAATATAGCACTAAACAATAATGAATAAGATGAAACACTAGAAGTTCTTAATCAATATTAATGTTTGTTTGTTATGGATTTCGCGCAAAGCTACACGAGGGCTATCTGCGCTAGACGTCCCTAATTTAGTAGTGTAAGACTAGATGGAAGGCAGCTAGTCATCATCACCCACCGCCAACTCTTGGGCTACTATTTTACCAACAAATAGTGGGATTGACCGTCACAGTATAACGCCCCCACGGCTAAAAGGGCGAGCATGTTTGGTGTGATGGGGATTTGAACCCGCGACCCGCAGATTGCGAGTCGAATGCCCTAAACACCTGGCCATGCTGGGCCTCAGTATTAATGTTAGCAACACAAGAACGTCTCCGAGTGATGCTACCCCAAACCTAAAAACTCTATACAAGTCTTAACCTCCCCACCCTCATTTAAGCAATGCGAAAATGCAAAAACAACAGCTATTTTTTAGGAAGAATCTGTCAAATAATAACTGAAACTACTTAATGTCTGGAGTTACAATAAAAATAAATTAAAACATGGTGATATGATGCAGCATCTCTAAGAGTTTTTTCTATCTCTAAAAACAGTATTTTAATTATTTATCAACATTTATCTAAAATTAAAAAAATGAGACTTTATAGCTCTTTGTTTGATCCATTAAAAGGTATTCATCAATACTAATTTGAAGTCATTGTATTCTTCGTGTTTGTTTAATTCATGCTGCTGTGATATTTTCCGGCAAAATTAATTTCACTTAAAAGGGACAAGACAGATCCGCTTAATAATGAGAGATTCGTCAAGATATATATATATATACTACGAAACAATTCTATCTATTGCACTAACTGAATTCGTGAGAAATAAAGAAAGATTGAACACAAACGCACAATCGCAATAAATATTCTTTATTTAAAACAAAAAAGTAAAATTTATACTTCACGTGGCAAAGCAGACAAGTGTCTTCTGGAATGTTAACTTTGGAGATACTCCAGCTCGACGATCTCTAGTTTCGAACGGCATCTCCCGATATCATGGTCTAGAGTGAAAAAACTCAGTTAGCTACTTATATTGTTAATATCAGGCTTACCAAGAGCAATTAGCAACACTCACGTGATTGGTCATTTCCAATGAAATGCAAGAGGGGTCACCTGACTCCTAGTGGAAGAGTCTAATTTCAACTACTATAATGACCTTGCAGTTGTCTTTCTCACAGGAGGACAAAGGGTACTAATATAAATAAAAGGCACAGAACAATGGATTTCTAGCGCAAAAGAAACTTATCACTTTTTTCAACAATGTATTATTTGGAACTACAAATACCTGCACCAATAACAAAGCTGGAAAATTGTTTATATTAACACAGAGAGGTAGAAAACATGAAGCATGCTTATGTACTACATTGCTTTTGTCACCAAGCTGACATTCATCTTAACTTTAGATCCAATAAAACTGACAAACAAACGTTGGTCAAGGAGTGGCATAAGTTTCTTTCACTCCTTTAAAAATACTTACATGCAATACAGACAACACAACCCTTTAAGAAAAACATCAGTAGCTACACATAACAATGACTCACTAGAAAAAGCATAATAAGAATAAGATGGAAACATTTGTAAAACAATACTAAGCAAAACTTTAATACAGATCAATCCATGCTATTAACTAGTTTGTATAATAGCATCCTTCAACAAAGAAATCTGTATATACAAATGAAGAACTATAACACAGATAATCTAAAATTTGATATCATAAGAATGCCTTTTAACAAAGAAACGAAAATATAGTCAAGTACAAATCACTCAAATACTTTGTATTAGAAATTCTTTTTGATAATCATATAATCATACAAAATGCAATGATTGTCAAGTCACATGAAGTTGCAGAGAAACTTTAATATTAGTTACAATTAGTTACACTTACAAATTGTAATAACACATTGCAAGAATGAACAGAAAAATAAATGAGCCCTTAAACAAAAATAATTATTTTTTCAATCACTTTACAAAGTACATAGTACCATCAATCAGATTCTGCATTTTAAATAGACTAGAAACTGAAAATGCTTTACAACTGAAAAGTACACTTTCACATAAAAAAATATAAGAAGAAATATATCACACAATTATGGAAGCAAATAGAAATAAAAGGAATCAAACAAAATACACTTTAACAAAGATATTTGCAATATCATAGTTAAAACACTTTAACATAGAAAATACACTACAATTTAGTAGTTATACATACACAGTGATAAGCTTTCACCCAAGATATATATACCCTTTCACAAAGAGCATGTAAATACTGATGGCTAATATTACACATCTTACTCAAACCAAATCAAAACAGGCATTGATTCAAAGAAAATAAAACTCTTCATTAGAATATAAATAATTTACTTACCTTTCAAATATACCTTAAGGTAAAACCAAAACTCGTTAAATGTAAACATATTGTTACGTATCTGCTTGTTTCTTAATTTCCGGTAGAAATTCTTTCCGAGGAACGTCAGTGATACAAGTCCTTTCTTGATTAAACCAGTTTATTCTTTCTCGATACAAACTTTTAGTATACAGTAATTCCACAGTCAGTTCGTTTCTCGTCACTTTAAACTTAACATCTGTTATATTACACTTTATAAATCACAGCGATATACTATCTTTTCTGGTCCACTAAAGAATTAATCATAAAACACCATTTACTAAAGTATGTGACTACATGGCCTCTTTGAGCTACCCCAGCCATGACACTACCAAATGAAATTCTAGAATTTAGCTGGCCAGATTACAACATAACCCAATTGAAAAAACAATTAACTATGATTGAAAGGTGCTATGAAAGGCATACTAAGCTCAGTTCAAAATATATTCCGACATGTATGACTGGTGTAACGAATTTGCTATTATACATTTATTTTAATATCAACATTTGTTTAAATTAAATTTATATTTAGAAGCATACACAGCTTATACTGTCAAATATGTATTGCGAAACTCCCGCCTATT